TGTGTGTGTGTGTGTGTGTGTGTGTGTGTGTGTGTGTGTGTGTGTGTGTGTGTGTGTACATAGTGGTTTGTCCTGTCTTTTTCCCTGTGATGACTGATGACCTTTCCTTTACTGCGGCTCAGTATGGTCATATTGTCATTGTACTTGATGAAAATGTTGTGTAAAAGTTTTGTGTGTAGATGTGAAGAGTTTCGGACTGAGGCTGCTGCCCTGTGCTGCCTGTGAGCTCAGCAGAAATCTTCTTCCCTTCTCAACCTGTGGTCTCTGAGAGGAAGTCCAGAGTCCAGTTTCGGTGGGGGTTTGTGTTCCCAGTTCTCCTTAAACTTATGTTTACTTAAAACTACAAAACGTGCGCTATGCAGGAAATCAAATAATATATCCAACATATACCATTATTTGAACACTTGTCTCTCTTTTGACATGAGAGCAAATGTATAGAGAAGGTGAGGCGAGGGGCCCTCTAGTGTTCAGGTGAGGTATGACGATTTTTAAAATCACATTTGACCAAAAACAGCCACAGACACTCAGAAAACCTCAGAGGTGAAAACTGTTTCTAACAAGACAGAGATTTGGTGAACTGTTTGGAATATAGACCATAAAATATGCAAATACTTACATGAATGTAAAAATAAAACTCAATGTATCAGAGAGGAGCTTAGAAAGGAGCTTTAAATAATAATCGTATGTGAGACCCCATAATACACCTGTCCTGTCTGTGTGCATTTCTTACGTATTTCTGTTTTAGTGTTTTACTCTTGTGGTTTTGAAATGTGCTGTAGAAATAAAGTTGAATCACTAAAGCAGAACGACTGGAGCGTTTTTGTGGTGAGGCCGGCCCGGTTCCTCTGAGGGTTTGAGTTTTATTAAATGCTGAAGCAACAGGAATGTTTAGCAGCAGTTGATCACTTTCACACAGCAACTGACTCTGAAACCATCGGCTGTTTGTGTCTGAGATTTTATTCAACACAGGAAGGAGGAAACTCTGTAAATCGGCTTCACAAGGTGAGAATCCTGATTTAACGGGAACAGAAATATTTAACTGTTTATGATTTTATAAAATCTTTATTTTAAATGGTGAAGATTTTTTTTATTGAATGACTGGAGGAACGTAGAGCTCTCCTAATAGATTAGCAGTTTGTTTCATGTTATTGTTGCTTATTGTTTAATTAGATTTAAAGTCGATAAATATTACGCTCCACAAAGTAGAATCTGGTATTTTTAAATGTTTATTCACCTAGTCCTGGTTCTGTCACTCCAGGAAATGAAATAATTTGACTTCATGTTTAGATGTGAGAAATAAATGAAGGTCAAATCAGTTGAGGCAAAGAACAGAAGGAAAGGAAACATTTTTCTTTGGAAATAAAGTTAATCTAAAATGTTTACACACTCCTGCTTCATGTTTTAACTGAGGATTGTGTTTCTGTCGTTTGTACAAAAAGTTTCTGCAAATAAAGTTTGACTGACTGATGGTCACTACAGAATGAGTTTATCAGTTTCTTACCAAATAGGAATGATAAATATCTGTGTGTCGTCACCCAGTGGAGCAACTACACCTTATTCAGGTGGATGCAAAAACATAAATCGGTTTTTGCAACCTTCCCTGTCCCCCGAAGGAAGGTTGAAGGAGCGTGGAAAACATGCGCTCGCTCTGACTGAACTCTGGTTCCTCAGAGCTGTTGATCTTCCCTCTGGCAGCTCCAGTTTTTATACATTTTATTTTCAGTGTAGAAGATTCAGACTTGTTGGAAAACTTGATATCAAAAGTTTTATTCAAAATATTCCTCTGTTACAATGTTAATACTGTACTTTGTATAAAGTTCATTAGCAAGTCTAATTTTATTAGGTGCAAAAATTAATAACCAATTCAGCATATTAATTGTAAAACTATGTAGAATTAAAGAGAAAGAAAGCCTCTGAATGTTTTCCTTCTCAATGTTTCACCTTGTCTTTGTTAACATTAGCGCCACCTGCTGGTTCTTCATGACCATTAAAACATTTGCTTGGAATCAACATTAATTTTTGTTAATTTGACACATTTTAACTAACTTTTCTTTGACTTTTATTACAGTGAAACAAGATGAACCTCTCCAATGACTCTACTGCTCCAGCCTATGAATATTATGATACCTACATTGATTATGAACCGTGCCCTTTCAGTGACAACAGTGTGAACGTTGTGGTTGGTCCTTACATTCACTCCATCATCTGCATCCTGGGCTTGGTGGGGAACAGCCTGGTCATCCTCACCTATGCCCTCTACAAGAGAACCAAATCCATGACTGACGTCTACCTGCTCAATGTGGCCATCGCTGACCTGCTGTTCGTGCTGGCTCTACCTTTCATCGTCTACAACGAGCTGTACTCTTGGCCGATGGGGCAGGTGGCCTGTAAGCTGCTGCGTGGTTCCTACAGCGTCAACCTGTACAGCGGCATGCTAATGTTAGCCTGCATCAGCACCGACCGCTACATCGCCATCGTCCAGGCTCGTCGGAGCTTCAGGTTACGCTCGCTGTCACACAGTCGCATCATCTGTGCCCTGATCTGGATGTTTGCCTTAATGGTGTCTGTTCCCACTTTCCACTTCTACCATTGGTACGAACCATCACATAATGACATCGTCTGGTTCAACGGCACCGAAGAGGAAGAGACAACAGATCCACAGTACGTCTGTGAGTGGAAATTTGGTGACATTGACACTGCTAGAATAGTGAAGGTTGGTGTTCCCAGCACCCAACTGGCCATTGGCTTCTTCCTGCCGCTGCTCATCATGATCTTCTGCTACACCGCAGTCATCATCACCCTGCAGAAAGCCAGAAACTTCCAGCGACACAAAGCGGTCCGAGTGGTGATGGTGGTGGTGCTGGTCTTCATCGCCTGCCACTTGCCTTACAACCTGGCCCTGTTGTATGAGACTGTCCGTTTGTTCAAACACACTGATTGTGATGAGCAGGACTCCCTGCATACGGCGATGTCTGTGCTGCAGACCGTCGCCTACCTGCACTGCTGCCTGAACCCGCTGCTGTACGCCTTCATCGGAGTGAAGTTCAGGAGCCACTTCAGGAGGATCTTCCAGGATCTCTGCTGTTTGGGAAAGAGGTACATCGCCCCGCGCCGCCTCCCTATTGATGGGACCAATGAAGACGGTACGTCTTTTAGCATGTGAAGCTAATAGTGTCAGGAGCTCTGATTGAGATCTTCAGGTCTCCAAAGCAAAATCTGACCACAAAGGGAAGATATTAGAAAGTATTTAAAAGAAAAATCTAAACATTACAAACTGCTGAGGCTTCTTTGTGTTGATTGTTGCTTAGTTTCCATAAGAATCTTGGCTGCTGATGAACATGTGAACTGCATGAGGCGTGAAGGAAAATCATCTCTGTTTTGAATACATTTGGACAAGACATCAAAATTTCAACATATTTTTGGACTGATCCAAAAGTACCGGAAGATGTTTCTGATAGTTCAGAGTTTTTAGAGGAAGTGCCCACCACCCTCTGAAAAGGAAATATTACACCGTTTATGTACACTGCCTGTTTTAGTATAATACTTTATCTAGATGGCTCCAAAGCGCTTCACACTAGATTCACCCATTCACACACACATTCACACACGGATGGCGGGGAGCTACTACATCGTAGCCTGAACTGCCCTGAGGCAATTTAACCAAATAAATCCTGCAGGTTTTACCTGGAAACCCAATAAATGAGTCATGATCCTCTGTAGTCAGATTCACAGCCTTAAACTAAGAATTTGTTGAAGCACTTTTAATTAAATTTCACTTTCCAGGTAGGAGTCTATCTGTATCTTAACCTTTCAAAAGTTCTACAAATCTTCTCATCTATTTTCTTAATTTTGATGATGGCATTTGACAAAAATTCATGCTAATTGCTGTTTGGTTATTTTTTTGGTTATTGCATTATGTTTTTATGGTGTGAAGCACTTGAACCATCTTGCAGTAATCAATTAAGCTGAAGATAAAAGGATGGGTAAGCTTCTCAAGATCTTTTTGTGTTCATTAGTCCTTTAATGCTATTAATTTTATTTTTAAAGCATGTTGCCGCAAAGTGATTAATAACTATAAGGAGATAAAAATCAATACTGATGGAAAAAGTAATTTAATAAAGAAACACCAAGAAAATCCTCCCTGGAAATGTTCTGCAGGTGACAGAAGGCTGGTTTTGTAATTGTCTTTATGTGTCTCTACAGGTTCAGGTCACTAAACCTGTCTAACTGTTGAAGCAGCTTTTTAAATGATTCTGCTGATGAATGAAAGGTTGGAAGGTTTACCTTAAAGCATTTTGTCTAGATTGTTTTTTCAGCATTGGGTTTGTCACTGCAGTGTAAAGTTAATTGTTTTTGTTTGTTTGTTTGTTTTTCATGTCAAACATTTTGAATTGCTTTGTTGATAAAATGTGATGTACAAATCTTTTTCCTTTTCTTTCATAATTGTACTTTTTATATTGTGGAATCAATTCTTATTGTCTGAGATATATGTATCATTAAACCCTGATTATTTCTGATCAGTTGATTTGAATAATGTTCTCATATTAACCTGTTTTTATGTGTTCATGAGTTGCTTTGACAGAGCTCCAAGTTCTGTTTCCTGTCACTACCATTATGTTTGTGCATGTAGTTCCGCAGTTGTCCACTGGGGGGTGAGAATGAGTTGATTTACTTTTAAGTTGTTCTGAAGAAGTTGGACCTTTAGTTAGTGATAAAGAGCGCAGCTGAAGATGAGTTGGGGACAAAATGCAGCAGAATGAAGCAGAAATATTAATGAAATAAAACATTGAGAATTTTATCTTTGACTTCTTGGAGCTTTGCATCACATTATAATTTAGTGTGAAGCACTTTGAAATGCCTTGCTGCTGAAATATGCTATTTAAATAAAATTTGATTTGATTAAAAACAAACCTGCAGTGTTGTTTTAATTCTTTCATGCATGTTTGAAAAATCATTTAATCTCCCACGGCAACCATTCACAGGTCAATTTTTTAAATTATTTTTGTGTATGCAGCAATTTTATCACAACTGAAGGAAACTTGATAGTGCATCATGTCCCTGGAAAATGCATATTGTTGCCCCTTTAAAGGTTTGTCACTGTTTAAACTGGAAGTCCAAACGGGTCCTTAGAACTGACGCAGTACAAGCACCATCTTAGGACTGGAACCGGTTATGTTTTAGAAAACGTTAAGGTGATGGATGGATGTTTTCAAAGACGCTGAACATGAATTTAAACAACAAAGTTCCTGATTTGAAGCCAGCCTGAAGACAGGCTGACCTCTGGCTGTTCCTGTGTTGTCCAACCGTCTCTTCCAGACAGCCTGACTTGTTCGCACGAGGAAGGACGAATGAGGATAATAATATATACACATATTGACAGGAATAAAAAAATGAAATTCAGAGAGGAACTAAAAATGACCTTTAGAACAGAAACGTGGAACAACAGTTGTCACAGATCACATAGTTCCTAATATTCCTCTGAGTGATTTTGTTTTTTTAGACGCTGAAGCAACAAGAAGGCATTTAAACAGAAAGCAGCTCGGAAACGATCAGCTGCTTCTGTCTGAGCTTTAATTCACCACACCGAGGAGGAAACTGTCTGCATCAGCTGCAGGAGGTGAGAATCCTGTTTAACAGCCACTGCATGAGAGAAACGTTGCAGAACGTTAGTTTTTAGTCTGAAGCTGGATTGTTTGGTAAAATCTCAATTGTTTTAAAGATTTTGCTCCTTTTAGTCCTTTGGAAACTGAAAAGATGTTTGGTTTGAGTGACTGTGGAGGAATGCAGAGATCCTCTGTTGACCTGGCAGCTTTGGTTCATCTTGTTTCGCGGTTCAGTGATTATATTGTTTAGATTGTATTTAAAACCAACACATATTATGGTCAACGAAGCAGAATCTCAGATTTTCTCAAAATGTTTTATTCACCCAGTATGTGGAAATAATACATGGGAATGAAATAATTTAACTAAATATTCTCGGTGAATTTAATTGTGAAAACAGTAAAATGACCAATCAGTTCAGGAAAAGAACAGCAGGAAGTCTTTTCTTTGGAAATACGTTGATTTAAAACGTTAACTCCTGCTTTGTGTTTTTGTTTTTTCCAGTCTGCCTGGTTTTAACCAGCACAGTGTGTTTCTGTCATTTAAAGTTATCTACAGATGAAGTTTGATTGGTTGATTCTGTTTCTTCAGAATAAGAATTTTAGAAAAATTTAAAAGACAACAAAGAAAGAAACTGTAAAAATCTTGCAGTGAATATTTCATCAGTTTATTATGACGATGTTGCTGTTAAAATGTTTTTCCTGATCTCTGAATGGAGCTTCTAAGGAAACCTGATTTTGAGTAAATATATTTACTTATTCAAAGGTCATTTTTAACTTCCTCTGACTCCATTATTTGTTTAACATTCATGTGACTATTTGCGTATAATAAGTTTTGTGTTTTTCCTTCCTCTTGTGAAAAAAGGCGGCTGTGTAAAGAGATCTTGATGGACACCAGCCTGTGTTTTCTTCAGCTCAGAACATGATGATGTTTAGCTTTTTGTTCAAACGATTGGAAACATCCGTCCTTCATCCTGAAGTTTTCTATATCATAACTGGACCGAGAACCTGTTTGGTTGTAAGAAATGTCATTTCAAGGAACTTAAAACACAAACAGAAACAAATTGAAGAATTACAGTACGACAGCTATGAAGTAATAAATGTTTTAATTGGAACATATTTTAATTAACTTTCTCTTTGGCTTTTATTACAGTGAAACAAGATGAACTCCTCGGATAATTTCACAGACGACTATTATTACGACGACCATCCTTTTTATGAACCGTGTTCTTCCAGTGACAACGGTGTGAACGTTGTGGTTGGTCCTTACATTCACTCCATCATCTGCATCCTGGGCTTGGTGGGGAACAGCCTGGTCATCCTCACCTATGCCCTCTACAAGAGAACCAAATCCATGACTGACGTCTACCTGCTCAATGTGGCCATCGCTGACCTGCTGTTCGTGCTGGCTCTACCTTTCATCGTCTACAACGAGCTGTACTCTTGGCCGATGGGGCAGGTGGCCTGTAAGCTGCTGCGTGGTTCCTACAGCGTCAACCTGTACAGCGGCATGCTAATGTTAGCCTGCATCAGCACCGACCGCTACATCGCCATCGTCCAGGCTCGGCGGAGCTTCAGGTTACGCTCAGTGTCACACAGTCGCATCATCTGTGCCCTGATCTGGATGTTTGCCTTACTGGTGTCTGTTCCCACTTTCCACTTCTACCATTGGTACGAACCATCACATAATAACATCGTCTGGTTCAACGGCACCGAAGAGGAAGAGACAACAGATCCACAGTACGTCTGTGAGTGGAAATTTGATGACAGTAATACTGCTAGCATAGTGAAGGTTGGTGTTCCCAGCACCCAACTGGCCATTGGCTTCTTCCTGCCGCTGCTCATCATGATCTTCTGCTACACCGCAGTCATCATCACCCTGCAGAAAGCCAGAAACGTCCAGCGACAGAAAGCGGTCCGAGTGGTGATGGTGGTGGTGCTGGTCTTCATCGCCTGCCACTTGCCTTACAACCTGGCCCTGTTGTATGACACCGTCAGTTATTACGAACATCGTGATTGTCATGCTGAGTCTTCACTGCGTAAGGCGATGTCTGTGCTGCAGACCGTCGCCTACCTGCACTGCTGCCTGAACCCGCTGCTGTACGCCTTCATCGGAGTGAACTTCAGGAGCCACTTCAGGAGGATCTTCCAGAATCTCTGCTGTGTGGGTAAGGGGTACATCGCCCCGCGCCGCTTATCCAGGGTCACCTCAGATATCTACATGTCCACAATTCGCCGCTCGGTTGACGGGTCCAGCAGAACCAGCACATCTTTTCTTACGTGAAGATGTTTGTGTCAGAAGCTCTGATCTTGCCATGGAGGCCTATAAACGGCAAACATGACATGAAAATTATTTTTATTCTCAAGCACAGTTCAGCTACAAGATGTTAGACTTAGAAAGGACTTAAAAAATAAAAAATAAACTTCTTTATCTGTGTCAATTGTTGCTCAGTTTTCGCTTTTCCATCCAATAACGTAAATTTAGGGACCTAGGCATATTTGAAAACTCACCAGTTTTCAACACATTCTTCCCTCACATGAAAGGTTTTTAATGGAACCAAAAGTGGTTGTGGCCAAACTGCTCAACGTTTAATCAGCCAAACGGTACATTGTAGAGATTTGAAACTTATGTAGGTAGATGCTCCAAAAATCAAGTAAATAAATTCTCTTAAATATGTCCTGAAATGTACAGGGAGGTTGCTGTTCTGGGTAATTTCAGCTACTTTTCACATTTAAACAACTCAAACCTTGGAGTCCTCCTCCAAAGGTTTTGAGCTATTGGCTTCAGCTTCTCTCAGTATGCAGTTAAAAAATGGGAGATTAAAAGTTATCAAAATCTTGAGTTTTTGGGCATGTCTAGGGGAAGTGGCCAAATTGCGACCTTGGCATGCTCACCAAATCAAAGGAAATGCCAGAACTTTCACAAAGAAGACTGAATTACACCAAACCTAGTCCGAGTCATGCAGGTTGTATACTCGGTACTATGTGGCTGTTCGCTGACATCATCACCCTGTGTTCATACGTCTGGCTCTAAACGTTTCAGTCGATCTGCTCCACATTCGATATGATCAGTCCTCATCCTAATATTTAGTGGGTGTGGCCTAATTCATCCCCCTACAATATTTTAAAAAATCAAACCCAATCCATGCTTTGATCAGCAATAATGAAATTTGGTATATATGTGTAACTTCCCGCAGGAAGTTGGCCATTTTGGATCAAAGTCACCATTTTGTCTCTTTTGCACATGTATCTAAGCAAACTCCTCCCACTGCTTTTTTTGTGCTTGTTTTGCATGTGGGCGTGGCCAAGCCTCAGTCTGACCATTCACCCAGTGTGTGATGAAGCTGACACTCCCAGCTTCATCACACTTTGTGTCGTAGCCGACCAGCAGTCGTCTCATTAAGACAGTCAGATGTGACATCATTTTAGCTCCGCCCCCTTCCAAAACGAAGTCACTTATTTAGCTGCTGAACGTTTTCCTTTTGGATTTGGACTCGTACAGATTTTAACCTGTCTGGTGTCAGAACATCATGATGCTGAATCCGTCTCTCAACGCTGGTGGCTGAACCAATCTGGGCCTGGCGGATTGGCAAATTCTAATCCTTTGCAGTTTGCATCCGATTGGCACTAAATCACACAAGCATTGTCTGATTTGCGCCAAACTGGATATGTATGACCTGTGTTAACCTCCAACGATGCCAGGAGGATTATACTGGAATCTGACTCCAGTGCGCCCCCTGGAACAGATACAGCATCTGGTCTGTACCAGATTGATTGTGCGCCATCAGGGAGCACAGCTGCACACATTGGTGTGGTGGTTTGGTGACATGACTTAAGCCCCGCCCACTCACTGGACAAACTGGTGACTTCCCTGTGTATGACATGAAAGTCTATCCACTAACATAATGTGTTCAAAAGCCGACAGGAAGTCCTCGCCAATATATCGTGAAACAGGAAGTGACAATCAATCACTCCTGCCAGTTTGAGGCCCAACTTTAAAGACCTGCTGCTGGACTCATACTGAACTGGACTGAAGGCGATTTGGGAGATTGGCCAAACACACCACCTGGTGGACATGCGCGTGAATTACATGAGCGTGTTCATGATGCTGTGTTAATGTTGCTGAGATATTATTTAGTTATTGCATAAATAATGAAATCTCTACAACCTGCATTATTATTATGTCTACATGTAACAATATTAGTTGTTTATCATTTTAAGTTGTCGTTTCTTCTGATGAAGTCATTGTTTTGTTAACGTTCATGTATGTTTGGATTCACTGTGACAGAAAAATAAACCCCAACATAATCCCACAGGCAGATGCTGCCACCACCGTGCTTCACTTTGGGTTTGCTGCCATCTTGGAATGAAAGTTCAGATTTGGTCTCAGCAGACCAAACACATCCTTCTTCCAGATCTGAGGTTATTTTAGAGGTTTCCTTGGCAACAGTGGCATCTGATTCGTAATGTCTGGTTTTGATTGTGTCGCTCCTGTCTCATGTTTTCTCACATTATTGTCTTTAATGTCCAGATTTATGAATAAATACTGTTTATTGTCTCGTGGCCTGTAACAGTGACGCCTCCTGTTGCTCTGCAGCATCTCTGCTCTCAGCTTTTCAACAAATAGAAAATATTAGGACAGCAAAGCTTTATGTCCAGTTCATCAGCTTCACCATGACGGCAGGCTGACCTCAGGGAGACGCAGTTAAAACTGAATAAAACGGATTTTAATAAAATCTCAGCTTAAATGTGTGAATGAGGGAAAAGCTGCTATAAAATATCGTTACTGTTCTGGTTATAGATTTAGGCTCCAAAAACTGGCTAATTTCTTCAAACTGGAATTTTTTTTAACTTAAAGTACATCTTTATAAATAAAACTTGTGTTTTTATTACTGTTGATGATTTTGTCTGTTTTTCTTGTTCATTTGTTGAATTTGTATAACATGAGGATGTTTTATATGTTTGTTTCTTCGTCTTTTTCTCCTTCGGTTTCTGTTTTCTGCTCAAACTTCATCAGCCTTGGATTCAGTTTTAAGGATTAAACTCTGAACTTGTTGCCAAATTTGAAGCTTTTATTTTGCTGCTAAATGTTTAAGGAGTTCAGAACGTCTGAGGCACTGATGTTACACTTCAGGTAACGTTTATATGTGTTTGAATGTTACCATGGAGATGGAGCTAAAATCTGCATATCTGAGATTTTAAGCATAACAATAAAAATCATTTTAATCAAAAGATTTGTGTTGTGATGTTTGTGGTTACACAGCTAACTGACACATGTTAATTAGTGAAGTTTTCTGTGAATTTGTTCCTCATCAGTTGAGTCCTGATCAGCATCAGCTTGTCCAGATTGATATTTTTGATCGGCTGATTCTGAAGCCTGGAGGGGAAACAGCTGATCGGTTTACGATTCAAATCAGAGCAGATGCAGAACTTTGTGTAACCACCTTTTTCTCAAATATGGGATCAGTTCACAAACTCTTGGTAAATCACAAACATTTGGAAGGTTTCACACAGCTCCACATTGCAGAGGGACATTTTACTGAGGTTTTAACAGGCAGGTTGGGCTGACGGCGTGAGAACCGGGAGACGACATCTGCAGCATCATCGTGTGGCAGGAAAGCTGGATTTCCTGCTTTCACAGCCTGTGTTGTTTCTGAATATGAAAAAACAACATTCTCTAATATTCCACGTTCAGTGGCGACGTACTCCAACATGGAGAAGATGTAACTACATCTTCTGTCTTCAGCTTGTTAAGAATCAACAAACCTGACCTGTTGGGAGTCCGTCTGCTGATCTGGACGTTTTCTGTTCCTCTCAGGATGAAAGTGACTCTTAGATCATTTACAGACTAATGAGAACTTAAAGCTGCACATGACAAAAGTCATTTACCATTTATAAGGAATGGAGGTTTTCTATCAGTGTGTTGTTATTGTATGAAGCTAAATGTGGTTCAGTTTCATCTTTTAAGTTTAAACATTGGGTTACGATACTTGAGGTAAATGACTGAATGGAGCCAGATGTCAGATTTATTCATGCCGACTCGTTGCACCACAGAGTATTCATCCAAAGTGGCCCTGATTCCTTTTCTCTTCCTCAGAACTTCCTCTCATCTCCCTCCTTCTGTCCTTCCTGGATTCTTCTGTCTGCTCTGTTATTCCCAGTCGCTCGTTGCTCCTCTGCTCCTGTTTATCATCTTGCTTAACGGCTCTTGTGCTTTGGCTCCTTGGTGTTTTCCCATCATTAATATAAGTTGTTTTCAGTTTCATTGTTTAAGATTCATCACTGTGATTCTCTCCAGCTCCTGTCTGCCTCTAAGTCCCTCTGCAGAAAACCCTGCTGGTCCTGCAGGGCCAGAACTGAGAGCAATTTATTATTATTATTATTATTATTATTATTATTATTAACAATAATAATGTGCAATGTTTTCATTTAGTTAAATAAATATTTTGTTTTTATAAAAGGAATCTAAATCTTTGTTGGTCTAAACATCATAAATGTTGTAGATGTGCAAATCATTTCTATTGCTTTGGATTCACGTTCCTCATTTTTTCACACTAAAAACAGAAGCAGGTCATGGATCACGGATCAGGACGTTCAGTGTTTAGTTGAGCATAACATAACAGAGGTTAACACCAGACAAATGCTTTGAGTTGTGCCAAAAAATACAATAATAACAACATATATATATCTTCAAAAATCTCTTTCTATGAAAATGTAAATAATTTTTGTTAAGAAGAAGCAAAGAGGAGGGAGGCGAACAGAACCATCCAGAATGGACCCGGACCCAGTCTGGACTCTCCGGTTCTGGAGGACCGGGAGGTAAATGTGGAGGAAAAGTGTTTGGCACATTTCCTCCACTAGGTGGACGAGTGAAGGAACAGCTGCAGAGTTTCTGCCGCTCGGACTGAGTGAGTTTTATGAGACGAGGATGTTCAGCAGCAGTTGGATCATTTTGACACAAAAAGCAGCTCTGAGTTGGAAACGACCAGCTTCTGGTGTCTGAGCCTGTTTTCATCACATGAAGGTTCAGGAGGTGAGAATCCTGCTTTAATAACAGAAATGAAGCTGAAGATCAGTTAATGCTGGATTATTTAGACGAATGAATAAGATCTCAATCATTTTACAGGCTGTGTTCTTATTGTTCCTCAGGACTAAAGAAGAATACATCTGTATTTTTACATATAACATATATGTGGTGCATCTATCATGCAGAGCCAATTCACACCATGATGACATTCAGGTTTGACTGAGCTGTTAAACTGGAACAATAACAGAGTGACCTTTTAGCAACGCCTGACATTTATATTGGACAATGAACTGACATGTTATGGGTTAGTGTTTATTCAACAGTAGGTAGTGCAGTAACCTCTGGCCTTTGCATAGTTTTATGGTTGATAAGAGTTTTATAGCTGCAATAGAGATAAAGGTCTGACTTCATGGCACGGCTGGGAAGATTCTGCAAAGAACTTCTCTTCTGTTATTTGCATAGTTTTGGTTTGGTTTTTCTTAATAGTGTGTTGTTGTTGTTGTTGTTGTTAGTGTTGTTGTTGTTGTTGTTGTTGTTATTGTTGTTAGTGCTGCTGTTGTTGTTGTTGTTGTTGTTATTGTTGTTAGTGTTGTTGTTGTTGTTGTTGTTGTTGTTATTGTTGTTGTTAGTGTTGTTGTTGTTGTTGTTGTTGTTATTGTTGTTAGTGTTGTTGTTGTTGTTGTTGTTATTGTTGTTAGTGTTGTTGTTAGTGTTGTTGTTGTTGTTGTTGTTGTTGTTATTGTTGTTGTTAGTGTTGTTGTTGTTGTTGTTGTTGTTGTTGTTGTTATTGTTGTTAGTGTTGTTGTTGTTGTTGTTGTTGTTGTTATT